ATTATGAAGTGCATTGATTTCAGACACTAAAAACGCCAAGATACTTTTCAATTTTGACTTAATTTTTTTTTTTACAAATTTCCAAGACAGCCGTGGTGCAAATATAATACAAAAAAACAAACAAAGGCTAAAATGCGTGAACGTAAGTACTTAAGGAACACCTGGCATAACATTAAGAGCAATTTCTTACCTGTCATCAAAATACCATACAATTCGATAAGATATTATTATTCTAATAAAAGAAAGCATATATATATGTCCCTGTGAGGTGAATTGAATTATTTTATTTTGTAAAATGAATTGAGAGAACACATATAATTGACTTGTCAAAAAGTGGGCGTGGTCCCTCACTAATCCAAGCTGCCTATTATAATCAACCACGTTCTGTGAAAGTGGATATAAGTGGTTGAGAGGCCATCCCACTCCCTATATAACGATTTTATTAAAAACTTTTAAAGACTTTGACTGAATATACATTCAATTTTACATTTACATTTTTAATGTAATTTGGACGAGATGGGGAAAATTCGGCAGACAATATTACGAAAATGAGTAAAATCGGACAAAAATCGCGCCCAGACAAAACTTTGCACAGAAAGTGCCTATAAAGGATGACTTTCGAAAATTGGCAAAAATCTGGCTGCTACTGTACATGCTCCCACATGCCGAATATGTGGACTTCAATTTTTAATGCGAACATTTTATAGAAACAGTTAAGATTTTACATGCAAGAACTAGTCGAAGTTTAATGTAGAATTAAGGTGTTACAGGTAGTCAGAATTTTCATAAATTTAATTTTTTTTTTCATTTTCGTTAAGTGTAATATCTTAAAGATATTATGTAAAAATTTTACGTTGATCCGATAATTTGTTTTTGAGTTATTCGTCAAATAACAAAGAGAACTCGGGCACTTCAAAACGCTAGTGTGAAACTTTAAACGCTATTTCTCAAAACTATTATTTTTGAACTGATGACAACTGTAACTCGAAAACCGCTCAGTAGATTTTAATGAAATTTATACAGCTTTTAGAATACATAATAAGCTCGGCCCTGATCGAAGGGT